ATTTACAATAAAAGAGAGGGTTTCCATTTAACAATAAAAAAATTTCGATTTTCGTTATTTCCGGAAAAAAACGGAAGTAAGCCAGGACGTCACAGAATAATTGAATCAATCAAAAGAAAATGTTTGTTCCAGTCTTTCAAATAGAACAAAATTAATCAGATATCTCACTGAATAGTGAAGATAAGGGGAGTGGAACTTTAGTAGTAACCCTAACAATGTCACTGACCCATTTGACAGAACTGACACTTAAGTTGTCATAACGAGTCTTTAATAAATAAAATAACCAAACAAAAAAGACAAAAACAAAAATAAAAAAACAAGAAACTTAAAGCTCATTTTTAAAAAACAAACAGAAGGTGTGATATAAAAGAAAAATATGAACATAATAATATTAAAAATAAAAATTTATAAAAAAAAAAGATAAAAAAACCCTCTCAAATATGTCAATGAATACAAAAAAACACTAGGAAAACGCATTTTATATTTTTTTTTTTCTACTAAAAACATCGATAACGGAAAACATAATTTATTTTTCAGTCAGCCTATTTTCATTCATTATTCACTCCGTGCGTGACAGCAACGCCAACTATTTTATAACTAACGGACGATATGTGCGTATACTGAAAATACAATTTTTATTAGAGTTCGTAATTAAGAAATATATATGTAAATTTTAATTTTAAAACAAGTGAAAATATTATTATTATTATTATTATTATTATTATTATTATTATTATTATTATTATTATTATTATTATTATTATTATTATTATTATTATTATTATTATTATATAATTTTATTACTTTAGCTAAAAAAAGTCAATAAAAATCAATAATAAAACATAGGCAGGTATTTACATTTTCTCGTAAATAGAGATCTTGCCTGAGCATAATAAGTTGTCATTGAAGAATAGGTTAAATAATGTCAAAATAAAAATATTACCATTATATAATAACGTAGAATTAAAACGTAATAACAAAAATAATTGGTATATTTACGATTGTAATTTATATTTTCTTCATTTTTAGTTCGAAAGAACCCATAGAAATTAATGAATAAAACTGGTTTCCTATCAATAAGTCACAAGATTGCATGTCAGCCATATACAATAATTAAAGGCAGAAATCATTTACTAAACTTTTAAGATTTAAGGGATGTTAAAGAATATCATAAAAAAATAATTGCTTAATTATTACAAAAATAAAAATTTTTTGTTCTTATTATACAGCTGTCCATTTATTTCTTTTATTTAATTTCGATTTTGCTACTGAACATTCATATAATTTACAGTCTTTTTGCTAGTATAATTTGCAACATAGCAACTCCGGTTGCTCATTTTATGGTTTTTACCTATTTTTTTAATAAAAAGTAAAATGTATACGTGTATTTGATATGCCAAAATTACAAAATATCGCCCTAAAATACTCGAATTATTCGCAGCTTGCGCTAGTATCGCTTTTACTTCCCCTACCATGACTTCGCACTGATCGAATAGACCGCAGCCATGTTTTAACATGCCTAAGTGTTCCAAACGTTCTTTCGATTAACTCTGTCGTTGGTGGAAGAGCCATAAATATTTTTTAAACCATTTTGTATGTCTAAATAAAATTCACAATATTTGGACGGAGAGCTCATTGTGTGCAGAAAGCTCTTTCGTATTCCAGTTTAGTATTCAGCTTCAAAATTGTCGATTCCAAATTTTTCATTTTGTTATCGGTAGTGAAAAAAGTATTTTTTATGTTTTTGGGATGTACGTGCTTAAGGAAAAACTAACAAAGCCTTTGGAAAAGCGGAACCCAGATATGCAATAAATATATTCAACCTATAATATTCTTCAACTATATTAGCCTGAATATTATTTCTATGAGATTGTTGTTCGTAATGCATAATATCTTATGCGTTATTGATTAAGCCGTAAAAGCCAGGGGGGGGCAACTGCCCCCCTTGCCCCCCCCCCCAAACGACGCCCATGGCCACAAGGCAGGACCTCGTAAGCCGCAAAATCGATATTTTTCAGATGAAAATATTCAAAAGTTTACTCTTTGTTCTGCAAGATAAATATATAAAAGTTTTATTATATAATAATCTAAATTGTCAAATATTTGTGTAGTAATAAATAATATTTTAGTATTCATTAACTTTTTTCAGTAATAAAAAAAAAGTAACAAGAACAGCGATATAAATTTGTCAAGATAAAATGTATGTTATAGTATATTACGTAACAAGAGTTGTAACTAACCCATTACGCACGAAGTGAAAAAGTTTACTCACGAAGCTGTGCAGCGGTGAGAGCGTAAATTGCGCAAGTGCGTAATGGGTTTACAACTCGTGTAACGTAGTATACTTTTTCTACGCCTACTTATTTTCTTCTATTAAATAAAGGACATCCCAGACAGCACACGACATCTTAAAAACGTCTGTTTTATGTCGTAGTTGTGACTGAACGCCTAAAGACCTAAAAAAGACGTTGTAAAGACGTCTTTATAAAGACGTCTTTTAGGACACATAAACAGACGTCTTAAAGACGTCTTTTAAATGCCTATCTAAAAAATATAAAAAATAATGGTAACTTTAAAAAAAGTACTGGCTTACTTGTCGTTTCTAATTTCACAAAATATAAATTTATTTTAAATTTTTTTTATTAATTTACATAATTTACTTATTTTTTTATTTATTCACAAGCATTTGTTTATTAGAGTAAGTAAATATTTGATAACATAAAAATAATAATAATAAATATAACTCTAAATAAAATTAACAATTAAAACATAAGACAAATTGAATTACGCGCTCTTTCACCTTGACCGGAACATGGTTCAACGATCGAAGCGAATGTTTTTATTATGCTTTGTCTTTTTTCAACAGTAGAATTTAAACAAGGACGTGTATCTGAATGTGAGTATTATTAGGGTTCCGTGGTTCGTGGCGATCTGAGTTGTCCTTTCGTTGTAATTTGTCATTTGCGTTGATGTTGAAGATGAACGCCAGGAGGTTAGTTTTTGTTGGTTATTCGTTGATTTTTTATTTGTGTCTTGTGCCGTGGATTACTGTGAATTTATAAGCATAAAAGTTTACTGCATATACTGAAAAACCAAATAGAAGAACCCTTATTAGTGTTTTAAGTACGTCTAGGCATCTAGAGCTGACTTTGAAGCTTAATCGGATGTAAATATATCTGAATTAAGAGTTGAAAGTACAGGAAGATTGCCATTCTTTGGCCACCCTTAACCCATGCACACTATCTACTGAAAATCCTATTAAAGCGAATTTGACAGAGTGAGCTATAATGCATAATATTTTACACAGCGCAGTTAAAATTTTGCAACCCAGACTGGCTCAGAAGAGCATCCGACAGAAGATTAACCACTAACGGAGGAAGAATCAAAAAAAAAAATAATTTGTAATATTACTTTTTTTAACGAAATATTTCAGTGTTTTGTAAATAATAATGTTTATAGAAAATATGTGTTTTATTTTGTATAGAAGAAAACCAGACATATTCAAGATGTCTTAAGAACGTTACCTTTTGTAACATCAGACGTCTTAAAGATGTCTTTAAGACGTCTGGCCGGCGTCATAAGACGTCTTTTAGACGTCTGGCCGGCGTCATAAGACGTCTTTTAGACGTCTGTTATGTCTCTGACAGATGTCTTATGGACGTCTTAAAGATGTCTTTGTGCTGTCTGGGATATGATTGTATCGCCAATCCATAAATTTTCGATAGGTAATTTCGTACCTTTTTTGGATTTTAGCGGTAACAAATTATGTGTGGCAGCTTCAGCTTTTTCTAAAATCTCTGGTGGAGTGCTCATAATTTCATCACTTTCACTACTAACAGATATATTCATAGGTAAAGTTAAGAAAATATTCGAATACAATATTTTGTATAATGTATGTGTTGCCGACATTTAGGTGCATCACTTTTTTAATTCAAAATGTATCTCGCAAAAACTAAAAGTTTTTATGTTTTTCAATTCATTAAATTTATGTAAATAGACCAAATAAAGTCAAACGTAGATAAAAATTTGATTTCAATTTGATTCAACTAAGAAATTTAAGTTTTCTTATCAAAACGCACGTGTATGTTATGAGATCTCATTACGTGTATGTTATTGTTAAATATCATTTACACCGAATGTTGACAGTGTGATTTTTAACGTTTACTGACATGGGCGTAGAAAAAATATTTAAGTTAGGATCCCATTCTGCCTCTTTATGGGATATGGGGGTCTATTCTGTAACAATTCCTTTATATTTAACGGCCTTTAAAAATATTGGCGGCCTTTAAAAGTATATTTGCATTCGTTAATTTACTTCTGTTATTATTTAAACAGATTTCTTTAAGATAGTCCTCTAATGTATTTTAAAGATCCGTTTAAATAATGACAGAAGTAAAGAAGAAAATATTTTTAAAGGCCGTTAAATATAAAGGAATTGTTACAGAATAGACCCCATGGTCAAATAAAAAATAGTATATATCGTAACCCATAACGTACAGTCTGCCTCGGATCAAAAGCATTTTTAGCTTCTTTATAGGGCTTTCTCAGTTAATGGGCATAATACAATAAAGCCCCCATGTTGTGGCAATTCACTTAGCCTCTGGGACATGTGCTACTGCTTTAAAATCCATTTCAAAAGTTACCCTTTAAATAAGTTGAGTTAAGATTTCTCAAATCGCGGAAAAATAATTCTTTTCTTGAAAAAAAGAATATGAAATTGATAGAATTACATGTAAATATCTACTTACCGTTTATATGCTTTCAATGTGTCAATTAATTAAATTATATCCACTTTAAAAACCAGAGTTTGAGTAGGCTGGGTTAAAATTCTTCAAATCGAAGACAAATAAATATTTTCTTGAAAAAAAAAATTATGAAATCGATAGAGAAACATATAAACGTTATTACCTTACCGTCCATACACTCTAATATTTTAAATAATTAAATTGCTTTTATTTTCAAAATTATGCTTTAATAATTTCAATGACAACTTGGGACATTAATGACAGTTCCTTTGTTCTCATCCAGTGCTATGACCTTCCTCAACCTGTGCCACGCACTAAACACGCGTATTGGCCTAATTCAGGTAACTCTGACTCAGTTAAGAACTGATGAACGTCGGCAGCCGTGGTAGGGAAAAAATAACTGGAATGAAGTAAGTAGACGATATCGAATTCGAACGTTCAAATTTTGTAATTTTTGCTTTCGCGAGAGGTCCGGTTTGCTCTTGAATAATCCATAACCTTGCATGTTATCACACCAACAAGTAATAAAGATCAACTATTGAGTAAAACTACGCCTACTTTAACAACAGTAACAATAAGATATAAAAATATGAAACCATATTAAATTTATACAAAAATAATCGAAGGAACAAATACAAATTTACCGTCCGTGGACAGTATATATTAGATTTAAAAAATAATAATATAAATGACTGGACAAATTACTCTGTAGTTGCTGAGAAAATATACAACGTGTTCTTGTCTAAAAATACAAAAGGTAGGAATTAAATATTTTTAAAATAATTTTTGGGTGTGTTTTTTGTAGTTTTGTATTATTTTCGAATACATGTATATTACTAGTGAGGTTAGAAACCGTACTATTAATGTTCCGTCTTATATTTATCAAAAAGCAACACGTAAAGGGTAGAGGGGTAAAAAGATGATTGTCCAAAAACCGAGATTTTGAGATTAATATGTGAATCTATACCTAATATACTAGCTGGTAATGACAGATTTTGTGCAACGTTTTTTTTTTAATGTTTACATCTTTTAAGTTATGATTATTACAGATTTTTAACATGTTCTAGCGAATTATATAAGAGTGCTCGCATGCAGCGGCGTCACCAAGCAAATTTGAATTTGTATTGAAAATATATAATTCCGAACGATTAGTAAAAAAAATTATATGCAAATCGTTCTCTGTTAAAATTTAAAAAATATACCGTCGTGAATAATCTGCAAACAGCTATATTTTTGTTGTTAAATAGACCACGAAAAACTGCTTTGCATACACATCTAAATTCATTGAAGAGGAAAAAAGGTGTCTTTATTGATAACGAACCCAAACAATGAATACAATATATACCGTGAGCACCATAAGTCTTACCCCCCCTATCTAAATCGTTACTGGAGTCTTGTGAGGAAAATCGCCGAGACACGTCGATTTTTGATTTCTACAGTGTACATTTTTGTATGAATAGTTTACCCTTAATTTCATCCCTTACTGGAGGGGAGCAACCCTTTCGAAAAATTTAAATAGCATGGGGTGGTGAGTGATAGCTCATTTGAACGAGGGTTTTATTCTCTATTCAACCATGTAAAAAAATTTGAAATTTGCTTCATTAATTCTCGACTAATTGTTGTTTCAGAATAACGGAAATTAACGTAGCGCACTCATCCTTAGAATTAAAATTCGGCCCTGCATGATTTCTGTTTTGGTTCAGACGTGAAGTAAGACTTTTTGCCATTAGAAGGTCAATATTAGTTTAGTTGCTTTCGTATTTTGTGAAGTTTTGTTATTTTTAAACATTAATAAATCAACACGTAACGAAGCAAATTTAAAAAATGTTTGCACGGTTGAATAGAGAATAAAACCCCCTTTAAAATGAGCTATCATTCACCACCCCATGCCATTTCAATTTTTCGAAAGGGTTGTTCCCCTCCAGTAAGGGATGAAATTAAGGGTAAACTAATCATACAAAAATGTACATTGTAGAAAACAAAAATCGACCTTCTCGGCGATTTTCCTAACAAGACTCCAGTAACGAGTTAGTTAGGGGGGGTAAGACTTATGATGCTCACTGTATGTATATTTTACATGTAAACACTGATGCACGCAGCATGTACACTTCGCGTCATATAATAGTGGTACAACTCTTATAACAAAAAAGCGTGCTTTTCAAGCTGTGTAAATTGATCTTTAAAATTGTGTCAAAGTTAAACTACTTTTTAGGTTATAATTTCTAGACCAACGTTGCCAACACTACGAAAATATTAGTAGATGTAATGATACGAATAAGTTTGGTAAAGCAATAAAACGCAATTAAAAAATTAAAAAATTAAAAATTTAATGTAATTTAAAATGAATAAGTTTTAAATTTAATGTTAACTTTTCATCTTCTGCCAAGCTTTACTAAATCATTTAAAACATAATAAATATTAATTTTAATTAGCGTATTTACTTTGCGTATTTTTGGGGCGGTTCGGCTGCACAAAATTCTTTAAATCAGTTTTTCTAATTATTCTTAATACTATTGTTACTGAAGCATGAAAGTTTGTTTCAACTTTTGCCTATCTTGCCGTAAATAATTAGTTAATGTCTCATCTTGTTGTGCTATAGTTATAACTGGTCTCCCAGTTTCTCTTTTTCTGTTTACAATTTGATTGTTGTCCCATTTTTGCAAAGCTGTTAATTGTGATTTTCGCATTTTATCAAACTTACTCAAATGACCCGACATCGTAACAATGCGTTTTGACAAACCTGACAAATCTTACTGTTTGTCATTTTCAAAAGTAAAGTTGGTTTTACAGTGGGAAAAATAAGTGTACCAGTTTTATATGACGCGAAGTGTACTACATCTAGTACAATTGTGAATTGTACTAGACTGGCAACACTGGTTTGGCAACACTGGTTTGGCAATACTGGTTTGGCAACACTGGTTTGGCAACCTTGTTTGTGAGCGGCACGCCAATTAATGTGTTCTTTGACAGTTTGAAGGATCTGTTGGCGTGTGTCTTCTCTTTTTAGCTATATGTATTCGCCAAATCGTCTCACTCGTGTTAGGCTCACTCATCATAATGCGCCACAGACACGGTATACTCAGGTATATTGTGCCACAGAGACGCGCTCAGCCAGAGAAAAATGATGTACCAAAAAATATAGATTAACACGTATGAAAATAAAAATATTAAAATTAAATTTATATTTTTATGTTATTTATGTAATTTTAAAATAATGTGTCTTTATGAAATTGAACTGGGTGTTCACTGCACAAATGAACCAATGGAGAAACCACCCCTGGTCTTAAATACTTCCATTTGCATCTAACACATATTTTCTAATTTATTAAAATTGTATAAATAGTTTCCACATATATATTTTTTACAGTTAACGGTATTTATTGGTATTTTCTTCGATTAAATTAATCATTTTACTAAATCGAGACATTTAACAATAAATAAATTTGAAAGTGTCAAAACTTTTTAGAAATGTCATATTATTTAAACTTGTTTACGTATTAAATACTGATTGATAATAAATGAGAAAAAGGGTAAAAGTCTTGAATTACTGTCTCTACTTTGAACCTTTTTAATAAATAATTATTAAAATAGTTATTAAACGAAACGTCCAATTTTGAGTTTTATCATTTAGCGGAATAAAAAATAGACGTAATGGTTCAAACTTGACTTAAGTGTTAACATCCCTAGGGAACTTATCAGTGTAAGTCAGAGCTGATTGGATATGCTAATACACCTGACTGAAAATGAACGATTTTAATTGGTTTTCTATTGATGCCAGAAATTTTCAACTTAATTTCTCGGAAAATAAAAATGTTTTGTTTTTATTTATCAGTTATTGTGAAATAATTTGTGGTTAATTTATTAATAACAAAAAATAAAAATATATGTTTTTTCATTTTTTTGCTGGACTGGCGCGGCGCCGATTTAATTGACTTCCCGCGCCGGTCCAAGGGGTCTCATCCGCCCCTGGCCGTAGACATAAAAACAAAACAAAAGTCATGATTTTGACAGAAAACAAATTCATAATCGTTCCAGTTTATTATTATTGACAGTAAATGTTTCAATAATTTGTTCACTTTTAGTTGCTTTTGTATTGTTTTTTTTTTATCGCGATCACCGTTATTGTTTTAATTGCTATTGCCGTTGTTATTGTTAGTTTGGCAGCTATCAAATATAGATTTCCCATTTAATGAGCAGACCGACACACTATTATTTATTTGATACTGTCAGGGTAACTACCGCGTAGTTATTTATAAACTGGAGAATTCCAAATCACAAAACTTTTACCAGAATCGAAACAGAATTAACGCTAGAACACCAGGGGCGGCTATGAGTGTTATTTATTATGTCCCCTCCATAATATCTTTCCTATAAAAACAATTTATGATCTCTTAGGACTATCGTCGGCCGCAGCAAGATAGAGGCCCTCGTCACTATGGATACGGAGTGGGACACGCGCTAACGGGTACATCTTGCAGTCGTCCCTTTTAATGCAGATAAGGGCGCAATTTTTTCGCTGCCGGCCAACATTTAGAACTTTCTTAAAGTTGTTTTATAATTTTCACGGAATTTTACAAATCACCATGTTAAATGATAGACTAAACCCTTAAGCTATGCTACCAATAAATATAAATTTAGTTCAGGAGATAACTAAAGTCGACGAAAAAGTCATGGAAAAAATTATTTGAATAAAGGATCGTAGAGCAGATTTCAATTTCAGGAAGTCATGTCATGAACTTTCGTAAAAACAGAAAATAACAAAATATAAATTTGTCGTCTTTCATATTTGATTTTTTTTTACATAATTATTTTGTAAGACGTTTTACTATATGAAATATATTTCATTTTGTTTATTGACTACTGACAAGGTGCAGTGTGTAGTGTGGTATTATGAAAAAATAAATAAAGAAATAAATAAAAAAACAAATATTCCATAATCCCCAACCTCAAACCAACTGGCTCCCTCCCACCTTCGCAGCTCACAAAAAGCTATTCTTAAAATGATTGGTAACAAAAGCTCTGTAAGTTGGATCTTTAGCAACCAATTATTAATATTCGTCCTATCTAAATTCAGCTAGTGCAAGCATTATTACAATAAACCACGTTTAAATTTTTCACAAATTGTTGAGGAGCGCAAAGTAGTCGACAACGCATTCCACATATTTATGCAGTAGAATATCTGAATAAAAGAGGAGTGCCCTAAAAGTGGGGATAAACGTCACATTCCATAGGCGTACTTTGCAAAATAAGGTCACTGTATATAAAATGGTAGATATATACGCACTTCGTAGATTAAATGTTTAATAAAAAAGTTATATTATATACCAAAAATAAAAATAAACCTTATGCTTCTGATAAAATTGTTTACATTTTAACGAATTAAATTTAATCAATAAATAACAAGGAGGATTATATGTTGTTAATGTGATTAAACTTTTTTTTAATATCTTGGTATTAAAAGTAACAGTTCACTACCTAAAATCAAAGATTAAAAAATAAAATGTTTAAAAACTATCTTTAAAAGTCATTGTCTTCACTATAACTACTGGTATCATTATCAATGTCTTTTCTGAGGTCTATTATTATACGGTCTATTAAGTTTTCCATTGGTACATCAACTTTCCAAAATTAATTTTCCACATTTTTAATATGATTTCGCAAACTCTCCCCATATAGCACAAATACGTCTTATGGACGTTCTAAAAATGTCCTGCTTGGACATTCAGGACATCCTTAAAACGTCCATTTCACGGACGT